CAGTAAATGATGTTTGACACTTCCTGCACAAAATGCACGAAGTTTTCTGTAAGGGGTAGGGTTAGGTGTATGGTTGGTGTAGGGCGATAGATAATACAGTTTGTACAGTATAAAGAAACTGTTAGGGCCAGCCACTGCGTGGCTGGATATATGCAATATATATTTTCCATATTGCAGGAAAATATGGTTTTCTGCAACCATATTACCATAGAAAAACAACCACTTACAATAGTGCCATCCTTTAGGTATCTGGGCAGCATTGTATCAGAGGACTGCAATCTCGATGACGAAATTGAAAATCGGATAAAGCAAGCCTCTGTAGACTTTGGCAGACTTCGACGTAAGGTCTTTAAAATAAGCACCTTTAATTGCTTACTAAAGTTACCATCTATAAAGCTGTTTGCATCACCACTCTTCTTTACAGTTGTGAAGCCTGGGTTATATATAGCCGCCACCTAAGGTTGCTGGAGCATTTCCATATAGGGTGTTTGCAGCAAATTTTGGGGATTACATGCTATGACCGTGTACCCCATTTTGAAGTGCTTGCCAGGACAAACTGTAAGGGTATGGAAGCCACAATCCCTGAGCACCACTAGTGACCACCCAGAACAGCCTAGCAACACCCTAGCAACCACCCACAACAGTCTAGCAACATCCTAGCAACCACCCACAACAGTCTAGCAACATCCTAGCAACCATCCAGAACAGCCTAGCAACCACCCAGAACTGCCTAGCAACATCCTAGCAACCAGAACATCCTAGTAAAGTCCATCAGGGTCACCGTTCCTCAGGGGGTCCAAAAAAGACCAACTTAAAACATCGTTAAGAAAGTGCCAAATGAATCCCTCATGCCTGGAAGAATTAGCAGCAAATCGCACCACCTGGAGGCAGCTCTGTCACGCAGGAATAGTGCAGCTGGAATCAGAGAGAAATAAAAGGAAACAACAAAAAAGACTAAGGAGACACACAGCCATGCCCCTACAAATTCTGACTTTATTTGCCCATCTTGTAATAAAATTTGCGGATCAAGGATAGGGCTCTATAGTCATCAAAGGATACACCGCAAATGAGGAGGAAGGTCATCATCGGATACGATGGACTACCAAGAGAGAGAGTTTGTGTGCATTTAAAGTGTAGCGGCTGAGGTTTCTGTGTTTCAGATGTCGTTAACTGAAGATATTTATGTAAGACTCTTGATTGCGTAACAGGCAGAGGAGGATCTGAACTCTTCCTCATCTCTCAGACTCCACTTTCTGGGGGTTTGCATTCCCATCATCATCATCATAACCGTAGCGCTGTTCTCTCATGATGCATCAGATCCGTGGGCTCTAATTAATACATTAATGAAATAACAGCCTGTGAGCGGCTGAGACTTCAGTCAGTGTTTGCTGCGGTTCGCAACGACACTATGGGATCAGCGCAAAACTTGCTCTCTAGAGATTCATAAATCAAGATGCATTTACTGGAGAACCAAAACGACAGAAGATAAGAAGTCTTGTTTCCTGAGAAACTGATCAAAATGAAGTGAGCTTATGATTAAAACAAGAACAAATATCTGCCGATGGAGTCAGAAAAAACAAATTTAAAACAGTGTTTCTCCAGCAACAGTCTAGCAACATCCTAGCAACCACCCACAACCAGTGTTGGGAGTAACGCATTACAAAAGTAATAATATTACAGTAGTATATTAACACCCTATCAACCACCCAGAACATCCTAGCAACCACCCACAACAGCCTAGCAACATCCTAGCAACCACCCACAACGCCCTAGCAACAACCCAGAACAGCCTAGCAACACCCTAGCAACCACCCACAACAGCCTAGAAACACCCTAGTGACCACCCAGAAGAGCCTAGCAACACCCTAGCAACCAACCACAACACCCTAGCAACCACCCAGAACAGTCTAGAAACATCCTAGCAACCAGAACACCCTAGTAATGTCCTAACAACCAGAAAACCCTAGCAACCATCCAGAACAGCCTAGCAACTCCCTAGCAACCCCCCAGAACTGCCTGGCAACATCCCAGCAACCAGAACACCCTAGTAATGTCCTAATAAACAGAACACCCTAGCAACATCCTAGCAACCACCCAGAACTGCCCAGCAACATCCTATCAATAACCCAGAACACCCTAGCAACATTCTAGCAACCAGAACACCCTAATAATGTCCTAAAAACCAGAACACCCTAGCAACATCCTAGCAACCACCCAGAACAGCCTAGTAACATCCTAGCTACCAGAACCCCCTAATAATGTCCTAACAACCAGAGCAACACCCTAGCAACCACCCAGAACTGCCTAGTAACATCCTAGCTACCAGAACCCCCTAATAATGTCCTAACAACCAGAGCAACACCCTAGCAACCACCCAGAACTGCCTAGCAACATCCTAGCAACCAGAACACCCTAGTAATGTCTTAACAACCAGAACACCCTAGCAACATCCTAGCTACCATCCAGAACACCCTAGCAACCACCCAGAACTGCCTAGCAACATCCTAGCAATAACCCAGAACACCCTAGCAATATACTAGCAACCAGAATATCCTAGTAATGTCCTAACAACCAGAACACCCTTGCAACATCCTAGCAACCACCCAGAACTGCCTAGCAATAACCCAGAACACCCTAGCAATAAACTAGCAACCAGAACACCCTAATAATGTCCTAACAACCAGAGCAACATTCTAACAACCACCCAGAACACCCTAGCAGCAACCACCCAGAACTGCCTAGCAACATCCTAGCAACCACCCAGAGTACCCTAGCAACATCCTAGCTACCACCCAGAGCACCGTAGCAACATCCTAGCAACCACCCAGAGCACCCTAGCAACATCCTAGCAGTAACCCAAAACAGCCTGGTTATGATTATATACAGCCTAGTTATAATTAAAACAGATAAACGGATCAGTTTTTGAAAGCCGGAGAAGATGCTCCTATCAGAGTGTTTTGACTAATTCATCTGAAACCATTACAATAAAGATCCAGATGACGGTTTGAAGAGCGTGAGTTTTCATCTATTCAGTGCAGTGTTTTTAGAGGACTCTCTGCTCTCTGAAGGCTGAATGTAAATGGCAGCAGATGTTTGGAGATCTCTCTGTGCTCATGGTAACGATGTCCAGCGCTGACCTCTCTTCAAAGCCGCACCGCCGCTGTTTGAAGGCTCTGCTCTGTTTGTCCTCGGGATATTCTGGGATGTTTGACTGGCTGATGGTTTCCTCATTAGCGCTAGCATGTGAGTCTCTCAGCACGCCTCTGCTACCGGTGTCTTAAGGACTATAAAAAGGTTTGTGTCACTGTCAGAAAGCCTCCGAGAGCCTCATTTATTCACAAAGCATCAAAGATTCAACCTGAGGAGTTACTCATGAGCCGCAGCTCGAGCAGCTTCATATCACAGAAACACTTCATAATACATACGCCTTATAATATTACTTTGACTGTTAGGGGAGTTTGTGTGCAACAAACCAAACAAATAAAAATAAAAAGGAAAATTTTAGTTTGTAAAGTATTCGCTGAATTATATTTACATACTATTTATATTAAGAAATCAATATTTATTCATTTATTTATTTACATAATATAACTGCCAACCCCAAGAATCTAGAGACTAAAAGTGGATCACACCGAGCACAAAAATATACAATAAAATATTAATTAATAAAAATTTAAAAAAAGAGTAAATGCCCAGGTCATATTATAAATAAATAAATAAGTCCAGGTCGTATTATAACAAACAAATAATAAACAAACAAATACAGTATATATAAATAAAAGAGTGTGTGTGCGTGTGTGTAATATTCCCAAAATAATATATATATATATATAATGCCCCTGCATGTGTTAAAGCCACAGCAGAACTGTGTTACACAGCGGTGTTTAGTTTCTGAATGAATCTGCGTTTTGAACGAATCATGTGAATCAATGATTCAAAGTCCCATTCATAAAGAGAGCCATTTACTTAATTCCTGAATGAATCAGCCATTTGAACGAATCGAATGAATTACATTTAGCTGCTGGCAGATTTAGTTTCTTATTTAGATTATCATTTAATTAATAATAATAATAAAAACATTAAAGGGATAGTTCACCAACTTCACCCCAAATTTTTTTTTAAAATTCTGTCATAATTTAATCTCAAGTCCCTCACGCTGTTTCAAACCTTTCTTTTGTGGAACATAAAAGAAGGTATTTTCAAAGACTATAGAATACCCTTACAGGGACTTTGGTATTTTGAAGACTGTTGGTAACAAAGCTGTTTTGGTTACCAATGACTTTCATTGTATGAACAAAAAATACTGAGATGTTTCTCAAATTATCTTCTTTTATGTTCCATAGTTTATGTTAGGCCGTTGTAGCCTAAATGTTTATGTGTAATATATTTTTTTTGTTGAATCAAATCAAATATTTCTAAAGCTACAATTTGTAATGTCTACTTGATACTTTCTCATTTAACACAAAAATATCTTTAAATAATCTTTTGTAGGTATTTTCAGTCAAATTTATTTTGCGATTAATTAGATTAATTAA